TTTTTGGAAAATGGGCGTAGCCACGCCAAGTTATGGTTACATGTGTATATCTTGGTAACCACTGCACCAATTTCATAGTTGTTGGCCTTGGTACAGCACACCAAATAGCCGAAATTTTTTAAAATCGGACATTAACCACGCCCACAACGGTAATTTAGAGAAATACTCTAATACAAAATCCACCATAAATCAGAAAATATTAAAGCTAATTTTATTCAAAATTGATGCTTGCAACAATTCTTTACCAAGAAATACGTTTATGATAAAATTTTGGAAAATGGGTGTGGCACCGCCCACTTATGATCACATATATGTATCTCGGTATCCGTTCAACCAATTTTTACCAAACTCAGTATGGTTATTGTGCTTTCCACATAAAAACGTTGAAAATTATTGAAATCGGACTAAAATTACGGCCGCTTTTCATATAACGGTAAAAATTTCAGAAATGCTTGAAACCTCAATATTTCGAAATTTAAGGACGCTAATTTACTTAAAATGTATACACCCCGGCTTATCATGTAGCGGTAGCTTTCGGAAAGGTGGAAAACATATATTTAATACTTGCGCCGGGTATTTAATGTTCGGCTCCGCCCGAACTTAGACTTTCTTACTTTTTTTAGGCAAAAATACTAATACACTTGTGCGGAGCTCACCGTCATCAAGTTGAACGTCGAGTTCAAACACAACTTGATGAACGCTGAGAATGACCCATCCTTCGAAATTTTTTACAGTGAAAATAATGTGTATTTATTGCCATCATCTCCAAAAAAAAGTGTACATTAAATAAAACTGTAAATAAATTCTCGCCGCACACGCTTAAGTTCAAGCATACGCCACAAAATAAAATTAAATGATCAATTTCTTATTGGCGAGACGCTTCGGAAGCGAAACATTCGTCTTTGCGCCGATTTTCCTCTTCTAAATCGGCATTTCGGCGTAAATTTTCCTTCTGCTTCTCACTTGTTACTTTCCATCCGCTTTCTGTTAGATTTTTGTTCAGCTCCACACAGGTGGCCTAAGGGAGACTGCTAAGACATACATAGACATGTACATACATAACTAATTTATCGTTATATGAGTTGCCAAGCAGACCACTAACAAAGGCATTGGATATGTTGATTGTTAGGTTTTAAATGTTAGGAGTAAGTGGTTAGTAGGAAAGCGAAAGAAAAGTGCACATAAAACGTTTACGAAACTTCAGAAATGTATGAAAAAGAGTTGGGTGTCTACACGAATCAGTTTGACTTTGCTGCTGCCTGATTGTGACCCATTCTATCATTCTCTCTATCCGTATTAATATAATGCTGTTTTCTGATCACTTTTGTTCTTTCTTTGCAAAACTCTTGCTTCCGTCAACTCCTTTGTGTGCGTAATTTCTGGTTTGGTTTTACAGATTTATTTTCCGACTATGGAGCTTACTTGCTTTTTGTCTTCTTCTTCTGTCTGTCTATTTCTCCGTGGTCGTTTAGTGCAGGGGCAATAGCCACGAAATTGTTACTGCCCGTTCATTGTGCTTCCAATATATTTTCTGATATTTATCTTTCTTTACTGTGGAGAGTAAGTTCACATCCGGCAGTTAACTTTCAATTTCTGTACTGAAAATCGAGAGTTAACTGTCGAATATAAGTTAACCCTCCACTATGAAACTGGCACTAACCTGACCTACAAGTGTTGTGCGTAACTATCTAATTCTCTCAAATTTTTGGTGTTTAATCAGCTTTTTTTTACGTTGGAGGCTTCTGTTGCAAATCTGTATAAATTTCTTATTTGCTGATAACAACTTTTGTACGTTCACCTAAGTTTCACTTTGCATGAATGTTACAAATTATATTTTCAAATACGTATGTATATATGTATGTATGTATGTATGTAAGGACATCTGTTCATAGATATTATTTTACATATGTATTATTTCGTTAAGCAGGAAATAAAATTTCATTAATTTGTTCAACTATAATCTAGAATATTTACACTTTCTTACAGCTATACAGAGAACAGCATAAATCAAAATTTTAACAGCAAACTTATGAATTATATACTTATGTATGTATGTACATATCACAATTTTTGAGAAGCTTAGTAATATTCACATATAAATATATTAAATAATTTTAATATTATTAGTAGTATTAAACATATTCTCAAGCTTGTTATCTACTTGTATGATTATATTTCCTGAACCGTAAAATTTTAATTTATTTTCTATATTTTTAAACATGCGATATTTCGTACAAATACACTTTTCATTAAAAAGAAATAATGGGCTTCACTTTGTTTTGTCGAAAATGTATCAAAATAATTTCTCGAACCATAGCACAGCAGTATAAACCAATAAGGAGAACTAGGAGAATTGCCTAAATTAAATATGGTAAGATTTAATTCATATTAAGGGGATTCACAAGACGTGTTAACCGTCGTAAAATCTTAAGCTTAAAATATTCCATGCAAAATAATGCTTAAAATGGTTTTAGAAATGTTTTTAAACTGATAAAAAAATGTATAATTAGAGCCCCGTAAAACAATTTTAATCGTTATCTTACATAAAAAAAATATTAAGTTTAAAACTTTACGACGGTTAACACGTCTTGTGAATCCCCTAAATATTTCTCATATCTTATCGAATTTAGGAGATGGGAGTTAAACGCAGTCCAAAAGTTAAAAAAATAATATTGCCGAAATATCTTTAGTAGTTTGTTATAAGAAGGCATTGAGATAACTCAAAACCTTTCTTAATTTTTTACTACGTGTAGTTAGTTTCCAATTTAACGTCAGCTCTATATGTTTATTCGCTGTAATCAAATCTTTCGTGTGCACATTTTGAAATCTTATCGGTACGTTTCTATAAATATGTAAATTGATTTTAATAACACGTCGTCTCAATGAGTTAAATCTATTATGTTACATAACCTTATGGTCAGATGATTAAGTTAGGTGATATTTTGGCTAGCTTTGCCTATTTTTCTTCAGTTCAGTGTTTAATATTTTTTATAAAAGTCTAGCACGTGTAACGTGTGGTAAAAACATGAATGTGCCGCTTAAAAAAATTTACTTCCGGGGAAGTTTAACCCATTTCCGGTCAAAACTTGATATTTAAATTGGGCGCAACTTTTTACACTGGGGGTTCTTAAGGGAAGGCAAGTGCTGGAAGTGCGGCCTGGATATCTAAGAGGATGCTTGCTTTTCGCACTCTTACGCAGCTCCTCTCTAATTCTTTACAGGCCTTTTCGATTCCCCCACTTCCACTTGTAAGATGCTAGCAAAGTTCGGTAATCGGAACGAGAGAGAGGCGTTCCCGCATGCGTGGACCCGCAGTCCATTCTAGACCCATCAGTATAGATTTCAATGGAGTTCTTCTCGACTATCCTACCCCTACTCCAATCCCGTTTAGAAGGAAATTTCACCTTAAAGTTTTTCTTGAAGTCGGTCGTAGGAGGTATATAATCAGATTGTTTCCCTGATTCGACAAGTTTGTCAAGAATTCCACTATGACCGTACTGCAGCGCCCTCCAGCAGCCTGACACTTTGAGTCTGATTGCCGAGGATGCACCATCCTTGGAAAGTCTGCAGTAGACGTCCAAAATTTCAAAAAAATCGGTTCGCGAGATCATCTCTTATAATAAGAAGGGACTACTCTTTATATAATTACGTTTATATTATAGATCGGACTATATTTTAAATGAAGATTCTAAAAAATAACTAATCAAATATATGTTGCAAACGATATCATTTTGAATTTTATTGCAAATGATATGTCCGATACAGTACAATACGTTTGTATGCATATGCATCCACTTACTTATATACATATACATATATGCATACGCACAAAAAATAATGTACACATGTGGGCATACTTATACCGTACCCTTGCTAAAAGACTGTCGTAAATCCAAAATAACAAATATTTTGAGTTAACTATGCAGAAATGACTACTGTCACCCTTATGTTGGGTCTACATGTGTCTGTTCTATGTTATATAAAAATTGCATACCTAGCTGTGTCGATTAACAACAGCTCATTAGAGGAAAATGTGTCTTATTTTTACCATGGAAGCATAAACTATAAATTTTAAATCCGTTTTTGTCAAATTGTGGCACTCTTGCAGCAAAGGTACGCTACCGCTAACTTAGAGCGAAAAGATGCTAAGTCCATATTAATTAAATTTTACAGAAGAGGAAGGCAACTTCTTATAGGCATTTTCTTCAAGTATTTCGCAAACCATAATTTTCATAAAAAGTGGACTTAGCAACCTTCCACTCTAAGCCAGCAATATGTATCCTTATATCAATTTTAATAATTTATATTTACATACATAAATACTTACTTATAATTGATAACTTTCTCTATTATGACTTTCTTAGAGTAAAATTTCCCTTAAACGTAAAACCTAAATAATAAATAATTACTATTTGTATTTACGTTCCGATTGCATATGTAAGTAAATATCTTAGCATGCCTTCAAATTTGGCTTACAAATATCTTTTTGCACCTATGACACTCAAAATAGCTATTTAATCTGAAACATTGTTCCACAATGCATGGAAATTTTAATTAAGAGCTTGTGACGGTTTTTACATATATAAAATACATATCTACATAATATTCCCTACGCACTGAGCATTTGCGTATCGCCTACAACTGTCCACTACCCAATCTTACATGCCTACAAACATGCATACATACTTCATACATATCGTATTTCTATATCTCCCTGTGTATAACTGGTACTTGAAAATTTTTATTTTACACTTACTTTAAAAATGTAATTGACCTCCTTAAGTAAATGTGCGTTTATTTTGAAAATTTTTCGATTTCCCCTTTTACTGTATTACACATTTATATTGTATCTATTTGCGTTCACCTTTTGCACTTATCCATTGGCACGATTGACTACAAATATCATTTTCTTTTTTCAATCGATTGTTGTAAAAAAATGCACATCAAAATCGTGAAAAAATCAAATTAAAAAATCGCTGTGCAAATTGCAAAACGTGCAGATTTTCACCATCTCTACGTGGTAACGACGGCCAGTTGTCGGAGTTCATAGATGGTCTGGGTCCCGGACAGTTGGTCGGACGACAAGTTCTGGGCGCGCCATCGCTGGGTGATATACAGCTATCAATGTGCCATCAAAAGGGTTTCTTAGAAGTAGAAGTTATACGTGCTAGAGGCTTACAGGTAAAGCAAAGTGTATATTATCTTATTCACTTACCTACATATTTACAACTGTAATGACTCCCCTTTCTCGTACACACTCATTTAACAGCAAAAGCCGACGTCAAAAATGCTCCCCGCTCCTTATGTTAAAGTGTATTTGGTTTCTGGTAAACGTTGCATTGACAAGATGAAAACGTCAACGGCAAGACGCACATTGGATCCGCTCTACCAGCAGCAGTTGGTATTTAAACAGCCATACCAAGGATGCATCCTACAGGTAATTATATTGGGAAGAATTCTTGGAATACGTTTGAAACTCCCGAGAAGAACATCCTATTAATATCACATGGCAAGTATTTATTTCATAGTATTTCATAGAACTATGTAGAATAGCGGATCTTGGCTTTGATGTATTGGAGACACTAAACCGCAGGGCCGAATTAACATGTGTGGGGCCCAAGGATAGGAGAAAATGTGGGGGCGCTATAGCGATTACCTGTTGGTTTCAATGTAATGCGTTTACTTTTAACTATCGATCATTAGTTTGATAATTACAAATCACTAAAGTAAATTTGTCAAATCTAAAACATGCTTACGTTACTAACACTACCCTGCAAAATTTGGCTTCGGAACGTTGAATTGTCGTTTCTGAAGTATTTTTTCGCGCTAAAAGAGTAAACACCACGGTTCTTGACATATGTATTGGAGGTTATTTACCAACGCAACTTACCCTTCCTCTGTTACCAGCATCGCGTCCAGCGTTGAATACTTTCAGAGCCAGAGCGTTCCTGTTCAATCGAACGACATCACCTAGACAGCATAGCTGCTGGATTTTAATTCGCTGCACTATGTCCATATCGATGTAAAGGTCTTACAGCTCATCATTATATTGCCTGCGGTATTCGCCATTGCCAACGCGTAAGGGCTTGTAAATCTTCCAAGGAGCCAAGAGCCGCTTTATCAGATGTGTTCATTGTTCGTGCCTACGTGCCATGCACCAATATAGGCATGATGAGTGACTTATAGATTGTGATTTTTGTACGACGAGAGAGGACTTTACTTTTCAATTGCCTACTCAGTCCAAAGTAGCACTTGTTGGCAAGAGTGATTTTCCATTGGATTTCAAGACTGACATTATTATTGGTGTTGATGCTGGTTCTCAAATAAACAATTTGTCTACTTTTACAAACTTGTATGTAAATATCAACTGGGATCTGGGTGCCAATACGCTTATCCGCGACTGCTTGTGTGATGACAAGAGATACTCCGTTTTGTCCTCGTTGACCGCCAGTCCCATTCGCTTTGCTTCTCTATCTGCTTCTCTGTCTGATCTCGAGAACGCGGCATACGCGGTTCAGTTTAGCCGTTCTTATTATCTTCTCCAACAAGAGATTAAATAAATCACATGAAAGGGAGTCACATTGCCTGAAACATGGTATTAAACGGCTCGGAGATGTCCTTCCTAATTCTAATTATATTATCATTATATTACATTATTAGTTTTGCGGGATTCCAAATTCAGACATCGCAGCATAGATAAATTTTCTTTTCGCGCAGTCTAAAGGGGCTTTGAAATCGACAAATAGATGGAGCGTGTCGATTTGGCGAATGGTGGATTCTCCAGGCCTAAAGCCACACTGATAAGGCCCAATCAGCTCATTGATGGTGGGCTTCGGTCTTTCACACAATACACTCTATAGGAGTTGTAACCTATGCTTAGAAGGCTGCCTTGTGGATTAGGCAGAGCACACTTAAGGCATTATAGTATCTACAAAAAATTTTGACTTCTCATTGCCCTCTTCTTAGTATTTGTGCATAGAGGACAAAGATAAGGTAACCGTAACCGCCATTAAATTCCAGCCGTATAGTCGCTATTCGTACCTCGTCAAAGTCAGGTGGCGGAACATCGACTCCATCGTCATCGACTGAGGGCTCGGTTAGCCTTCTCCGCTACTTTTAGTGCTGCTTCTATTCAATAGGGTGAAATAAAGTTTCTTCCGTAACTTAAGTACGTTCTTAACATCGGTCTCTAGGTCGCCATAGTTGTTTTTACAAGAATACGCCCTGGTATTGAACCCTTTGTAAATCGCCTAACTCGCTGGTAAAATTTTCGGGCGCTTATCCTGTTGGCCAGCATTTCAAGCTCTTTGCATTCACGTATTTCGGTCTCTTTCTTCTTATTGTGACAAATACGTCCCGCTTTCCTCTTCAGATCCCTATAACGTTCCCACATGGCTCGGGTTGCGCCCGATCGCAGCGTGGCTCTGTAGGCGGCATCTTTTTTCTGTGCAGCTTTTTGACAGACCTAATCGCAACTGTTGTTCTTTCAGGATCGCTGAATTTCGAATACTTCTTCGGCGATGGTACTTTATCAGTAGGAAATGTGGTTCCACTGCTCGCGTATGTCGGTTTGTTGAAGAGTGCTATCAATGGGCAGGTATGAGTGTCGAGGGGCTAGGGTTCGAACGATACTATCGATATTGAGTAAGCATCGATACTGAGGGTATACAAATGAGTACTTTAATACTCACAGTATCGAATACTTTTTAAAAACATTATTAAAACACATTTTAAATTTTTTCTTCCATTGGAAACCCAATTTTCTTTGCTTATATGGATTATGATCATTCAATTTTGTCCATCACTTAAGATAACTGAAATTTCGTGTAGTCTGTTGCATAACGTAAACCAAATAAGTTAAAGTTTAATGGCCTTATTCATAAAAAATAAAGTAGGTTTAAAGAGCTTAATAAAATGACATCATACATACATTTTTCAGTTTATAAACCTTTTTTTTGTGAATAAGGCCGTAAAACTTTACGCAAAGTTCACGAAAATGCAGAATTTTTAGAAAATTTTTGGGTATGCAGTTTTGTAACCTATTCAACTTTACGTGTAGCCTCCCAGCAAAAAACACGATTACCACAGGAACGAAAGTAGAAACGAGCTAGGCGATCGGAATCGCTTACCCTTTCGCTTCAAGAAGGCCTTATTTTAACATGGGCATGTCATTGGAGGTAAGCCCTTACCCGCAGCATTACCTTCAAACGAAGGGAGAACGCATGGATAAACAGAATCCAGAGAAGCGAACAAAGAATGCCTTACAGAGAAACTAATGTAGAATGCCTAGATAAGTACATACTTATTTATATTAAATTNCGGAATTAGAGATCTCGTTTAGTTCGCGAAGGGCACGAGCAATAGGGGCATTGTACGCATAGTTCGTTCGGAATCTGCGTAAATAAAATGGATGGTTATTACGTAAGTGTCGAGCCGTAACAGAAAAGTTAATACTTTGCAACAGGTCGGAGCAGTCGGTCTCCCCATTAATAACACTAAACATGAATGACAGAGACAATATCGCTCTTCTACTTTCAAGCGGCTTAAGATTAATTAGTCGCAACCGGGACTCATATGCAGGGGTGGGACTAGAAAATTGAAGTGAAGAAAGAGCAAACTTTAGAAAAACTTTTTGCACTCGTTCAATTCTATCAATGGAGGATTGGCCTCCAAATGAACGCAGCATATTCTAGTCTAGAACGAACGAAAGCAGTAAATAATAATTTGAAGGTATAAGGATCAGAAAAGTTTGAGCTGTTTCTTCTTATGAAACCTAAGACGGAATACGATTTGGAGATAATAAAGTTGATATGATTTGTAAACGTAAACCGCGAATCGAAAACAACGCCTAGATCTTTGATTTCCTCAACATGTTGGAGAACAATATCAGAAATGCAATAACATGTAGGCAACACATTAACTAATTTAAAGAAGGTGATCTTAAAGCATTTTTTGATATTTAAAGATAGGTGAGAAATACGGCACAACTTGGTTAAATTATTAAGATCGGCTTGAAGTCTATGCGAGTCAGCCGGGATGGTTATGACAGAAAATATTTTTAGGTCGTCGGCATATAAAAGAAATTTAGCGAAGGAGAAACAACTACTAATATCGTTGATGAACAAAACAAAGAGCAGGGGGGCCAAGGCACTTCCCTGTGGAACTACAGAGGATGCAGTGAAGGGCCTAGAGGAGACACCATCCACAGTAACTACACAACGTCTATTGTTTAAATATGATCGCAACCAATCTAGGAACACGGAATGAAAACCTAGAGATGCAAGCTTACCTAATAAGATTTTATGCGATACTTTATCGAACGCTTTTGAGAAGTCAGTATAGATACAGTCTACTTGGTTCCCAGCAGAAAACGCCGAAATACAGTATTCACTAAATAGGGCGAGATTAGAGACTGTGGATCTACCAGTAAGAAAGCCATGCTGCTGTGGAGAGATTATACTCATCGTAGCAAAATAGATCTTTTCCTTTATGATGCTTTCAAAAAGTTTAGAAACAGTCGAGAGTTTAGAAATCGGCCTGTAACTAGAAACATCGTCCTTTTCACCATTTTTGTAAATTGGAGTAACATCCGTCAGTTTCCAGTCGTCAATAAAGACCCCAGATGCTAACGATTTATTAAAGATTATTTTGAGAGGCAAAGCAAGCGCAGGACATTTTATAAGAAGGATAGGGGAGATACCATCTATATCCATCTTAGTAGACGGTTTAAGATCTTTAATACCATCCTCAACGTCTTCTAACGACAGACTCAAAAGGCCGCTCCATCGGAAGGCCACATTTTTCAAAAAGTTGTCCGTAATTACCAAATATCGATTCAAAAAATTTTTAAATTTTTTTTTGAGAAAATTTAAAAAATTTAAAATTATTTTTCAAAAATATAATTTTTGAAAACCCTCACAACCAACATTTTCATGCTGTAAAACTGGAACAATTTTCAAAATTTTTAAAAATCCTTTAGTGTCTGTTTTTTTTACCTAGCATTGAATTTCACTAAATTGTAGATTATTCTAAAGACCACTAGTAAATCATGATATTTTTGGCGTCTGACTCTTATATTTATAGCTAATATATGAGTTAAATGCAGAGTATAGTTAATACATTTCTTTTCATTAAAAAAGTCGAAAAAAGTCGAACAAAGTAGACTTTTCTTCGTGGATCGGTCGACTTTTAAAGTCGGCTGTACAGAGTCGATCAAAAAGTCGAAAGTCGACTTTCTAGTGAAGTCGAACAACCCTATGTACTTCCTCACTCTTGTACTTCACTTCATCGACTAACTTCAACTTCGCTGCAAATTGAACAAAGCAAAACATGATTTTTATGCGAGACAAATTTCCACAGAAAGTAACGGTAGAAAAAGAACTTTTGGATATTCATTCGATTTTTCAGCTGACTACGATGCAGATTTCTACTTTGCAT